CTTACTGAGGCATACATTCTGCCTGAAATCTGTGCAATTTGTTAATTCAAAAGAACAGAATATTTACGACCAAATGGAGAGAAAAAATTAAGCAAAGCATCATAAAAAGAAAATACAACACACCGTAACATTGCCTGACACAACAAGTTTGTCAATGTAATTGAATAGTTTCTCTCCTGTAAGTTCTGCTTCAAAATCTTCTAGTCCGAATATCTCCTTTGGCAAAATGATTAACATTTCCATTTCAGAATTTTTCAACGGCAACGATACTATTTGCATTTGTCTGTCTTCGTAGTATGGAAATTCTGCCGTCCTTATCATCATTGCTACCTGAATTCAACCATCATTTAACATCAGTTCTATCCAAAAGTAAAGTGCACTTTGTTCTCCGATATTTTGCGCAATGTTAAGTCAACTAATTGATTATTTTAACACTTCGCAAAGCTCAATGAATAACAGCAGGTCACGAAGTAGAATAACCTATTTGTCACTCAGCCTTATTAATCATTGCAAAGTGATAAATAAATAAACATTGTTTGCAAAGTACATCAATTTTTCGCGATTTTGCGAAATGGAAAGATGACAAATAATTTAATGGCGGAAATTCATATTGCCAATAAGCATCGAACTCCAGTTTGTTGAATAAGTACACCGGATAGTGCGAAATTACGTGAGCAGTACTGCCGACTCCAATATTTTTCTCTCGATTTGCCCACTTATTGAATTCCTATAATATATTAAACTATTTCTAATATACACTGAAAAAAATATTTAAAAATAGCATAAATTTATTATTTGTTTATTGATTTATTTTTAAACCAATGAAACCTGAAATACAAAAAAAAAAATATCGAAGAAAGGTTATTTTGCAAATTGGTTTTTTTTTCAGAATTCAAAATTGATTTAATTGAAAATCTAATAATATTTTTACCGATCCATTCGCTTGCAGAAATGAAGCAAAATCAATCTGTGCCAAATCATAAGCGTATTGCTGATTGGCAATATCTTTAAAATCAGACCGCAAAAAATTTCCTTCCTCATAAATTTTGGTTGAATAATGCGCAGTAAAATTTTTGCGCTTCAATTGATTCCGAATATTTTTAATAGTACATTCCATAAAGTTTTCAAACGTACGTTTGGTTTGACCTAAAACCCTTACAAGTAAGTTGTTTTCTTGAGTCGAAGAGCTTTTACGAAGTTATCAAATTTGAAAAGAGAATTTTGAATTTTGATTCCTTGCTATGATAAGTGATTAATTACGCTGAAATTTTTGTCAAAATAACTCTTCTACATTATTCAATAGAATCGTACTGATTTGTAATATTTATATCTCAAACAGTTTATTACCTGCGGAAATTGCTGCTCCAATCTCACGTTCGGTTTTACCTCTAGCTCCTGAATACAATACAGACATTGCGGAAACGACTGCAAATGGTGATAGCAGCGACGTTTCATCAGCTTCCGAAGAATAGCGCAACAGTTCCAACGCGAAATCCATTTGGGCCTTAGTTATCAATAGGCTGCAACGTTTTGTTCAGCTTTCGGATATCTTATAATAATTGTATTAAATTTATGAATGATATGAGAGAATTCCCTTACGTGTAATATG